CGGCGTTCTGCCACCACCGGAGAATACGTTCTCCGTGTCACTAGGCTCGTTTACCGATCCATGAGCTTGACGGGGACTATCTCTCCGGTGATTGGAATGTTGTCGGAGCTCAAGGAACTTACTTTGTCTAATAACCAGTTGGCCAACGCTGTTCCGGTGGATATCTTGAGCTGTAAGCAACTTGAAGTTCTTGATCTTCGGAAAAATAGATTTTCAGGTCAAATTCCGGGAAACTTTTCTAGTTTGAGCCGTCTTCGAATCCTTGATCTTTCTTCGAACAAATTCTCCGGGAACTTGAATTTCTTGAAGAATCTACGCAACCTGGAGAATCTCTCTGTTGCAAACAATCTCTTCTCAGGCAAAATCCCGGAACCAAGTGTGTCGTTCCACAATCTCCGGTTCTTTGATTTCTCCGGAAACCGGTATTTGGAAGGTCCGGTTCCGGTTATGAGCAATAACAAGCTTCAGACATCTCCACACCAAACAAGACACATTCTTGCTGAAACTCCATCTTCAAATTCCACGAAGAAACCTAACAACAGCACTACATCACAAGCTCCAAAGGGAGCTCCAAAACCAGAGAAGTTGAAGAAGAAGAAGAAGAGCAAGAAGAAGAAAGTAGCGGCATGGATCTTAGGGTTTGTCGTTGGAGCCATAGGCGGAACAATCTCTGGGTTTGTCTTTTCGGTGTTGTTCAAATTGATTATTCAAGCAATAAGAGGATCAGGAAAACCATCAGGTCCTTCCATATTCAGCCCATTGATCAAGAAAGCTGAAGATTTAGCTTTCTTGGAGAATGAAGAAGCGTTAGCTTCTCTGGAGATCATAGGAAGAGGAGGTTGTGGAGAAGTCTTCAAAGCTGAACTACCAGGAAGCAACGGCAAGATCATCGCTGTAAAGAAAGTGATCCAGCCGCCTAAAGACGCCGACGAACTAACAGATGAAGATTCCAAGTTTATGAACAAGAAAATGAGGCAAATCAGATCCGAGATCAGCACAGTCGGCCAAATCCGGCACCGGAATCTTCTCCCATTGTTAGCACATGTGTCAAGACCCGAGTGCCACTACCTCGTTTACGAGTACATGGAGAAGGGGAGTTTGCAAGATATATTGACTGACGTACAAGCTGGAAACCAAGAGTTAATGTGGCCAGCGAGGCACAAGATTGCTTTAGGTATAGCCGCAGGGCTTGAGTACCTTCACATGGATCATAACCCACGAATCATTCACAGAGACTTAAAGCCAGCCAATGTTCTTCTTGATGATGACATGGAAGCCAGAATTTCAGATTTCGGACTGGCAAAGGTAATGCCAGATGCAGTCACACATATTACAACCTCGAATGTTGCAGGTACTGTGGGATACATAGCACCAGAGTTTTATCAAACTCACAAGTTCACAGCTAAATGTGATATCTATAGTTTTGGAGTGATTCTTGGGATTCTGGTAATTGGGAAGCTTCCTTCAGATGAGTTTTTTCAGCATACTGACGAGATGAGTCTGATAAAGTGGATGAGGAACATAATAACATCGGAAAATCCTAGCCTTGCGATTGATCCGAAGTTGATGGAACAAGGATTCGATGAACAAATGCTTCTGGTTCTGAAGATCGCCTGTTACTGTACTTTGGATGATCCAAAACAGAGGCCGAACAGCAAAGATGTCAGGACCATGTTGTCCCAGATCAAGCACTAGTGTTTCAACATGTATTGTTTGCTTCTATGTATGTTTTCTAGATTCCTGTTGCATAAGAAATAACTGTGAACACAATCTTGGCAGAAATTTGTAATGAAGACTGTATAATTTAAATGGATTTCAATTATGTTTATTGCTCTAAACATAAATCATCAATCTAATATAAGAATCTTAGCTATATACATAAGGGAAAAGAGCACTTGATTAACAACCTTAAAATGACAATACGTTACACGTTTCGTTACTGTCTTCTTTATATGCAGCCGTTGAGAATCTCCCTCAAATATTCTAGCTGTTCGTGGCTGCCTTCATGTTCTTCCCACTAAAAGAAATAAAAACAAAGTCAACACATGTTCAGTGTATACTCGTGATTGAGATGGGAAAACATTATCAATAAAAATTGTCAACACATGTTCAGTGTATACGTCGACGTTTTAGACCCACCTCTTGAAGAGACAAAGATACTACTTTCCATCCAGCAGCGGCAACATATCGCCGCTTCAGCATTGTATGCCCTAATGGTATTCCTGCAGAACAAAAGAGTCGAAATGATCATTGAGTCTGGGTTGGCTGCAGCAGACACCAAGATAAATTCAGAAACAGAGTGATGCACTGACCGGAGTTTCTTGAGAAATGAGTTGGCCCATCGATTTCTAAAGCAACTTTCTTATCGACCAGAGCAACATCCACAGTGTAACCATCCACATCATGTTCTTTAGCCCAATCAAGCCCTGTACTGATTAGAAGACGTCCAACTTCTTTCTGAAAAGATGAGCTTATTTTCTGATTGAACCTTTTGGTTTTTCCTGCACGGGTTATTTTTTCTTCAAGTCCATGACAAAGTGACAACTGAAGGTGGGGGCACTCAAGCTTCAAGCACTGATTCACAAGAAACACCTGAGAAGCAAACATGACATCCTCCCTATACTGTTCTGAAAGCCTTTGCTCCTCCAAGGTGGTTAAACTATTCCATATATTGGCAAAGAAAGGTCGCTCCACTTGCCCAAGAACAGCATAAGACCATGCTATGTTTCCAAGCTGGTCCCTGTTAAAGCTAAGTGGTGGAGATCCTGAAGCATCATCGCTTACTTCAACATCCACTACTTCATCAGAGTTTGTTATTTCTTTTGTCAAATAACACTTGAACTGGTCACTGCTTTTGAAAGCACTATCCAAAGATTCAAGCAAAGGATCAGCTGGCTCATTAAGTGAGGCGAATGACCACAATAGTTGAGCAATCTCTTGGCCCTTAAAAGTAATGATAATAGTAGATGCCCTCTTTGACAACTCAGCAAAGAGTTCTGGAGCAGAATGCCGCATGGAAGCAAACGCCCCTGCAATGTTGGCAACATTCTGAGAATTGAATTCCCCAACCTTTGATGTGGCTACTTCTGCAACTCTATCCATCTCTGTCAAATAAAGCAATTCACCCCCGATTTTGGACAAGGCCCAAGAAATATTTGAGATGCCTTGAGCTGAACATTCTGGTAGACATGTCATTGCAAGAGCAACAAGCATTGACATCTCTCTTTGCCGAGCAAATGCAAGCCTACGAGTTCTCATCATCGAGACTTTCTCCATATTCTTGGCAATTCGGTGGAGTGCAGTAGCAATGTTTAGAGGAGACAAAGGCGATGGACTTAAACCTTTGGCAACAGCCATGATTGTCTCAGATGTTACTTCCAATACCTCTTCAGCAGTTTGTGCTTCTATTATGGCTTTGTTCAGGTTGATTTCCTTCATACGATCAGAAGGTCCTGAAAATTGGGATAGCCTCTGAGCTAATTGCTCCTTCATCTTCTCCTTCTTTTCCTCAAACATTCCACCAGCTAATGAGCTAACTCTTTTCCGCAGATCCCCCATCTTATCCTCCACCAATCCATCTTCAAAATCCAAATCTTCGTCCTCGGTATCAAAATCCTCTTCAAGAATACTTTTAGTTTTGACCTTTTCTTTCTTTACAATGACTTTCTTGCTCTTTTTCTTTTTCTTCTTCTTCAATGGCATCACCTCCGCCATTCTAGAAGACAACCCTCTGGCCTCAATCGATTTAAGTGCAATTTTCCTCGCCCTTACACACCAATCCATCCCTTCAGTGTCCTCAAGCACTTTCGAATTCTTCTGCTTTTTCCTCTTCTTCGGAGGTTGAATATCCAACGGATCAATCTCCCCGAGAAATTCTGCCTCCCAGTCCGCATCATCCTCCTCTTCTTCCTCCGAGTTACCAATCACAGACGAATTCTGCAACAACACCAAAACAATAGGTGAACATTCAAGCTTAGAAACCACAGACAAATTTGTTTCTGCAACCTTATCCAAAACCTTCCACACCATAGGAGCATCATGAGTCACATACAAATAAAGATTAAATCAATAAAAGCAACCACAAGAACTCATTTCCGAGAACTAACCACGGAAAAAGGAAGGTGCTTGAGAGAGCCCGAACGGCTATGCAAGGAACTCCTCTGTGCTAGTGGACCAAGTAATCGATACTTCTTATCAGCGACAGGCCAAAGCCCTGGAATTGACCGAAGAGCGAGTAAGGATATAAAGCTGGGTTGATTGATTAAGAAGAAACAAAGAAGAGAAGAGGAAATTGAAATGACGACCTGATGCGAAAGAGGAGGAGGAGAGAGAAAGATGGAGATGGCGGCGACTGTGGTTAAAGATGCGGTGGCGTATCTCCGGCGGATTGAGAGAGAAGCATCGCCGGAATGGAACTACACACTCCATCTTCTTCTATCGGAGAAAATTTTGATGGCTCTGTGCTGTGATTTTAACACAGAGAGAGTGGGTTTTAGCTAAACCCTCTTGCTAGCTTAGCGAGTTTGCTATGGCTAAAAGAATGTCCATTATTTATCCTAGTGATCCCTCAAAATTCGCCTTTTTTATAGAACATGCCCACTATTTTGTTTGATCACAGGTCATTTTTAGATAAATTTTGGATAAAACTATTATGATCAAAATTAAAAATTCAATTACTTTTACTAATTTTTTTGGATAACTCGGATCGTATACACACATAATCGAGTGTCCTAATCTGAATGCAAAAAAACTACTTCTTGATATAAAATATAAAAGAATCTCAAATTTCAATATTTATGCAGTTTTGTCAACAACATGTATTATGTGAATCTAAATTCATATGGTAACACAACGAGTCAACGATGATACTAAGACCATGTACATGGGTGATACTTTTAGGGTATCATAAGCCCAAAAATTAATTTTTAATGGAGCAAACAATTAAAATGGGCATGAGCCCACTGATACTTGTGATACCCAGACGTGTCATCTTCTGATTTGTTGCGTTTTGCCAAAAGGAGGAGAAAAAAAAAATTCATTTTGGAGATTGAACTCTCCTCTCACGCGATCTGAAACCTAGCCTCCGCCGATCGCGTGAGAAGAGAGTGCATATAGCCTAGCTATTTTGAGTTCTTCTGGAAGGAGTTAAATCAAACCAGCAAAGATCAGAGCGTGTTCTGGGTTGAAAAAGAAGCTATGTTGATGAATCAAGAGAAAATCCAGAGGCTTCAAGGAGAGAATCGGTAACGTGTTTATTGTTGCTCGGTGAGAATGGCGTCATGAATCTCGACACAACAGGTCTTGTTGTTCTCGTGTCTGGAACCACTTATAGACATTGCAGAACATCAAGCTTGTGCTTAACGATGATGGACTGAACTTCAAGCTTCTCCATCCTCCACGGTAATCTTATGTTCTTTCATCCGAGACAAAAATGGAGAGACGTCGTGTTATAGCTTGAGAAATACAAGGTTGTTGGTTTAGATTCATAGGATTGGAATCAAGAAATAGATTTGCTTGATTGGGTTTGATAAGAATGGGTTTATGGCTGCAAAGTTTTCTGGTTTTTGCTGAGCGCACACAAGGTGTTTGATAAATTGCCAAAGAGAAAAACGGATTGGGTTTATGCAAATTTTAGTTGGCTGATGGATGAGAATCAAATAGTGAGTAGGATTTAAGGAGTTGTGGAAGATAATTCTTCGTCACCATGAGACAAATTAGAGAAGTTAAGTGGGTAAAGATTCTGTCTAGACTCTGTCTAAAATTAGGAGACAGTTCTTGTATCATAGCTTACTGATAGGTTATGATTTAGGGTTGGAATGGTTTTAATTGCCTTCATAGCTTAAGGTCTATAAGTAAGACAGTTGGTGTCTTAAGGTCTTTAATTAGAGTATTTGTGGACTCAAATTATGTTTATGTTATCCGACAATTGAGAATGGGCATGATGATGATGATGATGTGAGATATTGTTTGAAATTGTAGGAAACTACTCTTGGATGAAAAGATGAGAAAAAGACAAGTTGTTGGTGCCGAGAAGTTGATACAGCTCTTGCATCCGTCAGAAGACAGAATGGGAAACTCCATTCATTGCACTGGTTTGGAATCTCATCGATATACACCAAGCATTTTAGCAGCTTCGACTATTCTTAGTTATGTCAAGCACTAAAAACTCTCGTGAATCATATTCCTTGCTTGTAACACTTTAGTTTTTTTGGTCATACATTGTCATCACTCATAAGGACCCCCTTGTTTGATACTAGAGTACACTGAAATTATTTTCTCAGCTCTATTATTCTTGCTATATGTTGGAATTTTTATCATAAGAGTACTAACATATGATAAATTACAGTAAAGGGGATTATGATCCTTGTCGATTAGATTGTCTCAGCTTATTTGGTTTGAAGTCTAAGACAAACAGACAACAAGGGCTCTGGAAAGCATAAAAGGATAAACAAAAATTATATAACTCTGTTTCGGTTTGCTTTGTAACTTGATTTATAACTTATAACTTTGTTTTATTTTAGATTTGGATTTGGATTTTTAAATTTATTTATATGATAATGAAGATTAAAAAAAATTGATAACCAAATACACAAATTTTAAAAATCAGTCGCAGCGATTTATTTATCTTTATCATCATGTTTTTTAATTTTTTTTGCTTAAATATATTCTACGCTTTTTTGGATTGTAATATTACATGTTGTAATCTTATGTTTTTATATATTTATTTTTGATTTTACAAATAATTTTTTTTTTTATGATACTTAAACCGGTCTCACCAATGGAAACAGATTTATTATCAGTATCATAAAAAATCTCAAACAATAAACAAACATTAAAATTAATACTAAAAAAATGTTATATAGAGTATCAACTATGTACATGCTCTAATAGAAATACAAACTGTATTAAATTATTAGGTTATGTGTCAGTGTCATGATCAATGTATATACATTTAAAAACCAAGTAGCATTGGTCTTTTGGTATATACTTTTCAATCAAGTCCAAAATTTTACAAATCCAACAGCATTATCATAAATAATAACATTCATTACACCATGTATCATTTAGCAAACAAAAATAGACTCAAAAGAGTACACAATGTACCATATCAATCTCAACTCTGTCTATAGAAAATGTAAATTGTAAGGGATAAAGCAAAGAAAACCCCAAACCAAAAAAACAAAATAAAGAAGAGAAGCTTCTTGCTTCAAGGTGAGGAAAAAATTAGACCAAAAAAATGGGAAAAAAACGTAATAATATGCAAAATTTTATGGCTTAATGAATAATTTATAAAAGATTCGCAGATTCGCAGATGTTGGAAGTTGGAACCTTCTCCGATGTTTGTCTTCCTTACTCCGGCAATGTCTGGAACAAGAAGTGAAAATCAGATCGCTGGCGGAGAAGCGGCGGTGGATCGACGTCGGAGAGGCTAATATTACCGCCGTGGAAGGATTGCGAAACATCTTCCACTGAGAAAGGAATGCTGAAAGATACCGGAAACAATGAAGATTCGAGAGTAATTCATTAGGGAGAGAAACTGAGAAGAAAGCGAGAAATTTGTTTCTGCGTACCTTGAATCGACGTCTAGCAAGAAAGAAGGGTAAGTCATGTTGGCTGAATCTTCCGCCATTAGTTTCCTCATCTGATTGATCACCTATTATCGGCACAAATCGTTGGATCATGAGTGTAATTTGGATACAATACTGGTTCAGGGTGTTTCATGGGTTTTATCTCTTGATTCAGGCACATGAGTTCAAAGCCAATTGTTTGTCAGAACATCGTGATTATATGTTCTGTGAATTTTCTTGAACAAGTTTTGGTTGATCCATTACTTACCTCAGGGGAGAGTCCTTGAGTTCCATATTTGTCGTCCCAAAACATAGTCCCAATTCGATATACTTGTGGAATGCTTAGTACCTGAGCAACAAATCAACTAATCAGGAGCTAATGACTGGAAGTAGGACTGTAGGAGGTTTTAGTTTTATGCCATCTTGTTTAATTTATTCAACTAGATTGCTTTTACTTTATAAGATCTTTCACCCGTTTTCTCATGTATCCAACTGTATAATGTTTCAGGAGTAACCCCTAATAGTAAGATCCTTCTATATGCTTTGCAGAAATTTTTGGTATAAGGTCTTTACCGGGAATATTTCTTTTGCAATCTCGTCCAATGATTTCTGTGTCTTTTGATGTGAGACCTGTAGAGTGATAGTGTATATCAAATATCGAATTTTCCCTAGTTTTGTATTTTTACCAATAGATATGGTTCGATGTTATACCAGAAACATCACTGCTTGCCTTATGTGCTGAAGTTCATCCCATGGTGATCGTGCTGCCTGTAGGAGACAAAAAAGAATAGAATTATGTAAGCAAATCTCTTTTGTCTTATATTTTATCTTTGCATGATTTGGTTATTAATCCTTTAGCCTACCTCGTCGTCTGCCTTCAGGCACCACTTCTCTAATTCATGCAAGCCCATTTTAAGATATTCTCCGTTGCTAACCGAACAACACTCTCGGCGAAGCAACAAACTGCCAGAAGATAAACTTTTCAAGTCAAGCTACGTCATAACCAAATGTAGGTACTTGTGTCCTGTGCAATATATTTTCTGTACCTATTAAAGAGCTGCACATTGATGTACGAGAAAACCTGATGGAAGAGTTTTCTTGTGATCATAGATGGGACCTGGAGATCATTAAGACTCAGTCAAGAAACAGGAAAAGATAAATTTAAGCTTGAGGTGAAAATCTTTGAAAGTGCATTATCTTACATGGTTCTCTGCCATAAAGGTCAAGGTATGTTCAAGCTTGTTGACAATGTTCTGCCATTGTACATATGATGCTTGTTGCTTGGCAATTGTGGTCAAGTGGATGCTTTTAGTCACATGTCGCAAGGTTTTGGCTCTTGTTGGTCTTGGTGCCTGTTACGTTTCACATATAACACATTATTAACATACGTGATTAGCAAATCATTAAGATGAGTTCCGTATTAACTTTATGAATGATATACTAACATGGATACAGAGATTTAGTAATGGATCTATCTCTTTCTTTAGTTTATCTCGGATCATGCCATATGTTTTCTCAACGTATGCTGCTAAATGTTGCTTGAATAGTAAAGCCGGATATTTAGCTTCGACCATCTGTTGGTCATTTGAAATTCCAACCATCCCACTGTAGCCACTGGATGTTTCCAAGCCCACTGAAGATGATTGTGTTCCCTACAATGTTGTTACCAACTATTACTAAGGCTCTAACAAATTGATTAATCGGAGGTTCACTTTTACCAAGCTTACTTGAACCAATCGCCCAAATAGTGTAGCATGGGATAATCTATTACGTCGTGAAGCCGCATTATTTGTATTGCTGAACTTGAGTGTAGATTGGAGAAGATATAAGAGGGTAGAGCTTGTTGTGAGCCAATAAGCTAGTTCCCTTGTGTCATCTTGGCTCTTCTGTACCAAAATTAGTATAACTTGAATACAAAATTCGGGTTTCAGAGGGTTCAGATACTACTTTCATAGTCAATGCCTTTAAATTATTACCTCAATGGACGATCGAATCTTATGAACAATTCTATCAAATATGTTTGTTTTCTCTGCTTCAAATAATCTCCATTGAAGTAGTGCCTTGTAAACTATCCAAGCTGCCACACATCTGTCGTTATCAAACCTTCTCTCGTCAGTGAGGCATTTCATCAGCACCTCATGGCTCTCCTGTCCAGTAATAGTCATTATAAATTGTTCTGTAGTGAAACAGATATTGAAATATCTTTTGCTTGCTTTTGTTGGTTATCAACTTATGGCTCCATAGTTCAAACAAGTTCTCGAATGATACCCGTTGCCTATCTGTTAGAGACCCTTGTTTTGCTAACACATTGATTGGATTCCTTGGTTCCTGAAACAAATAGCAAGGGATGAGAAACTGTAGAGTACTATTTCTTAACTGGGCCTAGCAAGATATTGTACCTTTGTTGCCTGAATTTCTTTTATTTGATGTTGATTTTCAAGATTCTGCACAGTTATATTACATTATTGCAAATTGTTAGACATATTTTTTGACTTAGAAAATTTTATGTTGACAGAAGTTTTGCACCTTTTCGGACGCAAAAACTCTTGCAGGAGGCATTGTCTTTTCTGCAGAAGCTGTCTGTCTTCGAAGAGATTCATTTTCTGACTCTAGAATTGCAACCTTATCCTTCAGGCTGCTAAGAGGGTTTTTTTCCAGATATAGAGTGATATCAGATACAATTTCATATTTTATTTTTCTTTGTAATTCAGGTCGATTGAAAATTTCAAATATGCAGTACTAGGCTGACAAAACTTCTCAGCTCACAGGACCTTACCTGTTTAACTCTCCAGTCTCTTCAACGCTTGTTGAAGCGGCCAAAGCCTGCTGACGCAAGACCTGATTTTCGGATTCAAGGTTTGACAGGTTCGTTTCTAATCTGCAATTTACAATCAATACTCATGAACCCTGACTGTGGAACTTAAATTTGATATCAAATGACTTCGGAACCAATAAATCTATACCTTTCGATGATTTCTTGAAATTGGATGGCCTTTGATTTTGCATCTTCTGCTTCAGTTAGACTTGCCTTGCTATCACTCTCAAGTGCAGAACATTTCGCTTCAAACTCCTCAATTTTTCCTTTTAGTTTTGCCACCTCAACCTACATTTTAAAGATATTGCTTCAGGAAAAGTATCTGCTAGTTAGTGGAACTTGTAGCTCAAATTTACCTCCAGCTCATTGTTTTGACTGTTCAGTAACTCCAGTTGAGTGTTATCTACAACTGGAACCTCTTTGATGACTGGTGGAGCTTGTTCAATGACTAATTTTGCTGCTTCTTTCTCTCGTATAATTGCAGCGTAGGCTTCATCTAGCTTCTCTTGCAATTCAGTTAAATTATTTTGTAGTCTAGCAATTTCTTGTGCTTTGGCTTCTTCGAGATCAGCCTAATGACACAATTAAGCGTGAGCGTCATTTTGGAACTCTTAACTCTAGCATTTCATCCAAGGCAATTAGATAGCAGAACAGAGTACTCTAGTTTCTAATGTTGCTGACAATACCTTTTGATGCTTCTCTAATTCGAGACGCCAGGTTAGCTCTTCCACACGTTTCTCTAACTTGTCCTTGGCTTCCTTGAGCGCCCCAGTTTCTCTTGCAGCCTTTGTTGGAAAGATATTATTGTTAGTAACTTAGACTGAAGCATTTTTCTACTTTAAATTCCATTGCCTGCCTAGTGGACAGATTAGATTGATTCTTATGAGACTAATCACTCAAAGTACCCTCTTATCAATGAAACTTACCATTCTGAGATTTTTAAGCTCTTTTCGAGCTACTTTAGCTCTCCATAGACATTGTAATGCTAATGTTGCTTTTTTGTGCTGCTTATAAGCTTCGTGAGCTTGGTGTCTTCTCCATTCCCTCTGTTAGAAGATATATCAGTAAGATTTATCATAAAATTATATCAAAATCATCACCACCGTACTGCTTTCCCCTTCCACATTACATTTGATCCCAAGACAAGTAAGAATAAATATATTGCTTGACGTCTGATCCGTCAAGCATCTTGGAGCACATGCATAGGTATTCATAATTAAAAATTTGTTCCCTTATGGGTGACGAGTAATCCAAATTTTGAAATAAGATTGGTTACTGCTTTTGATTATTTCTAACCTATCCTTGAGAGTAAACTAGTCTGAGATTATAGAAGACTAGTCGAGAAACTTCTGATATTTTGAAAGAGAATTAAGAAGTGAAGTAAAGTAGTCAAAACCTAGTACCTGAACTATAATTGCTGCCTTTGTTCTTCTTCTATGTCTATGCTTGTTTCGAGCAGACATTGTCCGTAAACCAGTCTGAATAACTGTTGCTGATGCCTGGAGCTTAGTGTAGTTTTTCCTTGCTCTGTGAGCACGAATGTTCTTTTGGATACAAATTGAAGCAGCTTCTCTTCGCATGTTTTGATACAACTTGCGAGCAAGTTGTGCTACATAAGCAATGCACATGACACGCAGTTAATTTAAAGATTACTGTTACCTGGCTGAAATTTGAATCGTTTTGTGACATTATATCAGATAAGGCTGCTAATATTCTATCAGTCCATAGTATGGATGGCTCTATTGATAATTTAAAAGTTTAATCCATTGCTTTTGTGTTGGGTAGGGTGTTACTATTGAGACATAGGTAGAAGAATAAAACCTCTCCAAAGTTTTTGCATATAAATTGTAGCCTTTTTCTGCCCAAGGAACTCTTTTCTTGTCAAATAAGTCCTGATCTGCCTCTGAATGAGTGTAGTGGCACCAGCCAAGACCTCGGTTCTTCTTGCATCTAGTTCAGCCATCTGTCCGGCCCTAAGAAATATCTTTGTTTTTCCTATCTGAAGATGAGTAATCAAAATGCAATCTTAGATTACACTGTTAGCATTGGGCTACTTTATTTATTCATATCTGACATTCTTGTACCCTGAGCTTGACTTACCTGGTAGCCTTTTAAACCCATCTTGTCGCAGATCGAAGCACATGCCGATTTTTCGTCGGTTCTGTCAATAGATAATGTAATCTTCTCAATGTTGATTGGATCAGGATAATAGGATAAAACGAATAACATGTGTCTTTCTAGATTTTTTTTTTATTGAGTATTCTTACCCCTCTGGAACGTCTGTTGCTAACATCACAAAACGATCTAGGAATTCATCGAAAGCTCGTTTTGTTGGATAACCAGCACAACTGATTCTTATAGCTTCCAGTACACCCTGTTCACTTATCCAGATATTCTATTAGCAATATCCCTGTGGGAAAACATGAACTTTTTATAAATAGGAAACCTGAGGCTTTAGGCTTACTCCGCATCTTAGTTGGTTTAGGACGTTGTCATTCTCGAAAATCCCGGGCTTCAGAACTGCATTTGGCTTCACACATCTAATATAATGGGGCTCTGTTGTGTTCAGCGTCTCCATTAGAGCTTGGAGTTGTTGCTGGGGGTAGGTTAGGTCAGGAATCAAGATCTTGAGCAATGTGCAATTGATATTTTTACTAGTGGCTTACCTTGAAACGGGTCCCTATGGATGAAAATTTGGACTGCTTTGATGCGTCTTCTGGAAGTGGTGGAAACAAATTGGCGACAAAAGAGCACTTCGATGCATCTAGCAAAGCTTGATGTTCTGCCACAACATAATCCTTGTTCTTGTCAAGAAATTGCTCCGCTGAATATGTAACCTGGAGACAGAAAATCGTACTTAGTAACTAGCTACTGTATTTACTTCAGTTTAGCGTCTAAAATTGTGTTTGTCTCACATCTCCTGCATAGTGGTTAACAGTGAAGGCTGTTTGGGCAAGCTTAGGTTTGCTGAAACGCTTGTGTCCTTTATATGTTTGATACATCTTCTGTGCAAACGTCTCATGAGTCGACTTGGGAAACATGCTGCAAGGGTGAACCTTATGATTTTGCCTAGAGGAGCCAGTTTTACTTCTTACTATGGACTGATATGACTCAAGTAGGATTAGACTTACCATGCTTCATCAAGTAGGGCAATTATGCCTCCTGGTTTCTGCAAAAATGAAGAAGATGCCATTGATAATCTTCTGTGGTTGTACATGTTGTGGAGCCAATGTCATCCAGATTTATGATGTTAGTTGCATATTTTGTACCTTCTCAATAAGATCTAAGACGTCCTGGTTATCAACAAATTCAACATAGCTCCAGTTTATTTCCTCCCTCGTGTATTCCTCTTGCTCCATCTTGAATACATGCTGCAGAGAAAAATTGTTTCATGTAAAAGTTGCTTGCAATGTGAATAGGTTACAGTGATATTATTTCCTACCTGATTGAAATGCTGTTGTAATTTCTCATTTGTGAGATTGATGCATAGCTGCTCAAAACTTTGAAACGAATAGTGATATTAGATCGTAAGTTCTATGTGTACTCATCATTCAGGTTTATAATTTCTGTCAGGTCTACCTGTTGATTTTGAAGCTTTCAAAACCATAAATGTCGAGGACTCCGATCAAGCTTTTAGCATTTGGGTCTTGACCTATTGAACTGTTGATCTTATCCACAATCCTGTCATTATTGAGTGGTGCACATGTCACGGTTGGAGATGGCTCAAACTGAGAACTATTTATCTAGAAAAAGTCCTGAAGGAAAACCATGTTAAAGGTGTGTTCGGTCTCTCCTATGATGTGTATGCGGTTTCTATCTTACCTCTGCGCCATCAGAATTCTTGTGGAAGGCAGAGCAGCTTTTGCCTAGTGATTATTAAATTATTCATTTTTGTTTCAGGGGTTGGATTTACATACCAGTCAAACAGCCTGGAGTATACTGTCTTGGCTAAAGCATCACGATTTGAGGCTGCGGAGTCTGGGTCTAGCGGCTTTGTAATGTTACCGTCCGGAGTGACAATAACACGCTTGCAGAGTGAATCTTCCATCATCTTCTCATTGCACCTACGTCAAGTGAAAGATTGAAATTTAGTCAGCATTTCCATTGGACATGTGCAGAATTTCGAGGTCTAATGGTAATTGGTAAGGTACATGAGTAATTCTGCTGCTGTTTGAAGATGATATCTTGATTTATCATCCCTGAGTTTTGAAGAATCTGCTTCTTCTCCTTTGATAAAATTGACATTTCCAAGGTGGAGGATTGCAGCTACGACTCGGAATATGGCATCCTAAAGTTGAAGTTCCTGGTTAGTATTTGAAACTTCTACAATCATATGTATCCTTAGAATGAGAGTCATGAGACAAACCTGTGCCTCTTGTCCAATGCCCACAATGTCCATGGCATTTCTAGTCTCAATATACTCTCTTGCATCATCTACATTGGAAACCTCATAGCAGTTCGTCTGGTTTAGATAGTGGAACGTCCTTGGATCACCTACCTTGAATTTCTTAGCTTCCTGAAATCAAACATATTGGTACAGTTTTCTTATCAATAATTGTTCTAGCTCTTTTGCTTTCAGCATTGTTACTGAAGACTTACCTCAGGCGGTGCTGCACAGAGCATGTAGAAGCAGTGATAGTTCCTCTCAGGGTCTGAAACTTGGCAAACACGAGACCGTTCAAGAAGATAAGTGCGGATGGCAGCTCCAGATATTTTCCCACGCTTGTCAAATTGGATCTCAACAAATTTTCCAAACCGACTGTCGGAAAACCCAGAGAATTGCAAACGAGTCAAAACAAAAGATACCAGCAGAAAAAGAATAATATGTCCACTGTAAGTTTTTCAATGACACCACCTTGAATTGTTGTTTTTCACAGTTTTGGCGTTTCCAAAAGCTTCCAACACTGGATTAGACTAAACATAGAAAAATTTTAAAATGGTGGAAGCTTGTTCGACGCAGATAAAAATCAGAGCAAGTAACTCACCTCTAAAACTTGTTGTTCAACGCTTCTCCCTTCGGTATCTGATCTGCCTCCCATGAATGCAAGATATCTCATGAGCATTTTGGTTGTCTCTGTTTTTCCAGCTCCGCTCTCTCCACTAACCAAAATAGACTGGCTTCTTGCCTCATTAATCATCGCCCTAGTATAATTGAAGCTTTTGGTAAGCTAACTTCTTTACAGTAACTGCTTAAAAGTCTACTCAGGATTAACAACTTTTACCTGTAACTGGTATCTGCAACAGCAAACAGATGCGGGCTTAGCTCTCCAAACGCAGCTCCTTTATATTGCTCCATCATATGGACACTATACAAATGCGGAAGTCTTTGGAATGGATTCACCGCAATCAAGATGTTTCCGGTGTAAGTCTGCTCTATTCAAGATTGCAATTAGATAATCACAACTTCGACTATCAAAAGTTTGACAAATGGATGTTTTAGATAACTGTCTTAAATTACTGACATATATCTCGTTTAATGCAAAACGGCAATCTAGATTGTGGAGGACCCCTGGCTCATGGAGGTAAGCCAGTTTAGTCATGTCGTCAACACCTGCAGGCGGCGCCTCTGTATCCTTTGGATATATACTAGAAATACTAGCAACAACCTGTAACAATAGAATATATACTTGAAATTTTTCTAGAAAATCTGTGAATCTTACTGCAAAGGTTTATGTTAACAATATCAAAATCTTTTCCATTTTGAGTGGTTTTGTATGTAATGAAAAGTAGTTTCTCACAGTTTTCCCATTTGCAGTGACTATTTTGGCATTGGTGCCTTTGATTTCAATCACTTCTCCACTAATCCATGCGAGTTCTAGATCCTCGACCCAGACATGTGACCCGAGTGTGATATTTACAGGAGTCCCCTAACATTATTTATCAAAGCAAGCTTTTCAATAGTCACATTAAGAAAAGATAGGAAATATGCAACAGAAGGTGTTAATGGGAAGGCTTACCATTACTCGAGCTCTTCCAAGCTCTTACACTCAGAATCTGCAGCAGATGAAGAACAGAAAGATCAAAAGAAAAGGTAAGATAGAAAGAGAAGATTGAGCTCTTTAAGGGAAAGAGAGAGGGAGAGGGGGAATAATAAAAAGAAAAAGAAAAGGTGACTCTGAATCAGAAGATACAGCAGATTCTTAACTTAGAAAAAGACTTTTCCCTCACCTCTTGTCTCCACTACGTCTCTTAACTTTTTTTTGCAGGTTTTAGAGCTTAAGATGCAGTAATGGCGGCAAATCAAATTCTTTCAGATATTCAGTCTTGGGTCATTTGCTTTGAAAACCATGCTAGAGCATTCCATGGAAAACTGTTTGGTGTAACACCGTGTAAGGAAGGTCACACTTCTCATATTTTTCTCCTTTTCAAAGCTTTATGCTGGTTCCTTTTGAGTATGAATGGGGTCCTCGTAGGTTAAACAAAATGTGAAATTGCTGCTTTTAGAACATTAAAGTTGTCTGCTTTACATTTTGATATTGATACTGCACCAACTTTTTTTCTCTTGATCGGCCATGGCCAGGTACTGTTTCGCTGTGAAAGTGAACTTCTTTCCTCTTTTTCGTTAAAAGACAATTATGCCCTTTATGTTTGGTTTCATCTCTTGCTGCAGAGCCAAAGGCCTTTTGTGTGGTGCTTAAACTTGAAGTCATCACCTTAAAAGTGTAAACTTTGTCAAATCTTATAGAAAGTTGCATACTTTTCAAAGTTTCATGATTTTATTTATTTCATTTTGGGGTGTGTGAAGGTAATGGCCGGTGGAGAATCTCCGGTGGCGGTTGAGGCCGGTTTCCGAGACTGGACCATTTGGATTAACTTTTCTTTTCTTTTCTCTCTCTTTTTTTAATATATGGTCGAAAGTTTTTATTACGCTAGTTTTAAGTATTCTTTATTCTTTGAATATTCAGAGCTGCATCATTATATGTCTAATTTTGCTAATTTCTCGATCCAAGAACATCATGATTACATGTGCAACCCTGTGTTTTAGCCTTTTTCTTAAATGAAATAAAAATGTCTCATAATACTATCAACTAAGGGACGTATTAACTCATCTACCAAAAAACTGATAACAAGGAAAACAGCATAATTGGATTTTATTATCCCGTTACAACAGACTAAACAAGAAAACCAACCAAAATTGACTAATTTCATTTTCAAAAGAGAATACAAAGACAGCTAAATTACTAGTAAAATCTATAATTAGCAATGACAAAGAAGAATAGTAGAGAAAGAAAGAACAAAAAAAAACAGATTGTGTAGCTCTCGCCTATTAATGCAATAAAACAAAACACATGATGAATTTGTCAAAGGAAAAAAGGCCAAAACCTTGGGGGATTTTTGAGAATCCCGTTAAACTCTCTATTAAGGAAAATTCCCCAATAAAATGGACGATCCCCAAGTTGGTGCAAGTGCGTCGCGGTTTGGGAAAGTCGTATGTTATAACCAATCAGAAATGAACATGTTCGGAAAACAGAAAGGATGGGAGCGCGGAAGCCCCCCTATAGCCTCACTTCCTTTCTTTGTGACACAACTGTTTGTCGCTAATCTTAGTTACCGCGTACTCTACTATTTTACTCGGCCTCTATATCTTCCTCCTTTCGTCGCTCAAATACTTGTGAGTAGTCAATCTTGAAAACAAATTTTACCAACCATTATCAATCTTGAATTGTTTTTTTTTTTCATACTTATGTGTCACAACTATGTTTCCTTTTTTACTTTGTTAGCTATGTCCTAGGAGTCTTCATCTTCAAAATCTTGATAAAATATTTTTAGGCAATCAACTTCATTGTTCGAATGGAAGATCTGTTTTTTTGTTTGTTTTTAAAATAAACCAAAATGATAAAATTCTAAGATTTGTTCATTTGGTTGCAACATACAAAAGTCAATTGTGGGATCTTTTTTTCAAATTATAATTTATAATATGATTCAATAATAATTGTAATGATCATTTTGTTTACAGTGCGGATTACTGTTCAGCCCGAGTGTGCTCGGCCAAAACGACTGGGTCCTCAAAAGCATTTTCCCTTATAGATACACAATGGTTCTCGAGACGTTCGCAAACTTAGCTCTCGTTTACAACATTTTCCTCCTCGGTCTCGGCATCGACTTGAGGATGATAAAGATCAAAGACACCAAACCAGTGATCATAGCCATTGTTGGCCTCCTTGTGGCTTTACTTGCCGGTGCTGGCTTTTACTACCTCCCGGGTAACGGAGACCCCGACAAAATCCTAGCAGGTTGTGTTTACTGGTCGATCGCATTTGGCTGTACAAATTTCCCCGATCTTGCTAGGATTCTTGCGGATCTCAAGCTCTTGCGTTCGGATATGGGACATACCGCAATGTGTGCAGCCATTATTACTGATTTGTGCACTTGGATTCTCTTCATTCTTGGAATGGCGAGTTTTTCCAAAGCTGGTAACTAATATAGTTGTTCCCTTGTGTTATTTTTCCTCTAGGACTCACACACGCATATAGTTAGGGAATTATAGTACTAACAAAAACATTATTTAATTTTAAGGTCTACGGAACGAAATGTTGCCATACTCATTAGTATCAACCACAGCTTTTATCATTCTCTGCTACTTTGTGATCCATCCTGGAGTGGCTTGGGCCTTCAACAACACCGTCAAAGGAGGTCAAGTAGGAGACACTCACGTATGGTTCACTCTCGCCGGAGTCCTTATTTGCAGCTTAATCACCGAAGTATTTGGTGTTCACTCAATTACCGGAGCATTCTTGTTCGGTCTTTCGATCCCTCACGACCACATCATTCGAAAAATGATCGAAGAGAAGCTCCATGATTTCCTCTCCGGAATACTAATGCCTCTTTTCTACATCATTTGCGGTTTAAGAGCTGATATTAGTTACATGTCCAAGTTCGTGAGCGTTGGAGTGATGGCGTTTGTGATTTCTGCGTCAATTATGGTGAAGATTTTGTCAACGATTTTTTGCTCCATCTTCTTGCGTATGCCTTTGCGTGATGGTTTCGCCATTGGTGCACTTATGAACACCAAGGGAACTATGGCATTAGTCATTCTTAATGCAGGAAGAGACTCCAAGGCATTGGACGTTATTATGTACACTCATATGACGTTGGCGTTTCTAGTGATGTCAATGGTGGTGCAGCCACTATTAACCTTTGCTTACAAACCAAAGAAGAAGTTGGTTTTCTATAAAAACCGAACCATTCAAAAACACAAAGGAGAGTCAGAGCTTTCTGTATTGACATGCGTCCATGTCCTCCCTAACGTCTCTGGCATAACCAATCTATTACAACTCTCTAACCCGACCAAGAAATATCCTCTTAACGTTTTTGCCATCCACCTGGTCGAGCTAACGGGTCGCACCACGGCTTCGTTGCTCATTATGAACGATGAGGCCAAACCAAAAGCTAACTTTGCTGACCGAATTAGAGCGGAATCTGACCAGATCGCTGAGATGTTCACAGCTCTGGAAGTGAACAACGACGGGATTCTGGTTCAGACCATCACCGCGGTTTCACCTTATGCGACAATGCACGAAGATATTTGTTCGCTGGCCGAGGATAAACAAGCCAGCTTCATTTTATTGCCTTACCATAAGAATATGACGTCAGACGGTCGGTTAAATGAAGGAAACGCGGTGCATGCTGAAATCAACCAAAACGTTTTGAGCCACGCGCCTTGTTCGGTTGGGATTTTGGTTGACCGTGGCATGACGACTGTCCGGTTTGAATCTTTTTTGTTCCAAGGTGAAACCACAAAGAAAGAAATCGCCATGCTGTTCGTTGGAGGTCGGGACGACCGAGAGGCTTTGGCTTACGCTTGGAGGATGGTGGGACAAGAAATGGTTCAACTCACGGTTGTGAGATTCGTCCCAAGCCGGGAAGCTCTAGTCTCGGCCAAAGCCGCGGTGGAGTACGAGAAGGATAAACATGTCGATGAAGAATGCATCTACGAGTTTAATTTCAAGACTATGAATGATCCGTCAGTGACTTATATAGAGAAAGTGGTTAACGATGGTCAAGATACGGTCACAGCCATTTTAGAATTGGAAGATAACAATTCTTACGATCTTTATATTGTAGGAAGAGGCTATCAAGTAGAAACACCTGTGACCGCAGGATTGACAGATTGGAGTAGTACTCCGGATTTAGGGACTATAGGCGATACATTAATTTCATCAAACTTCACAATGCAAGCTTCGGTTCTTGTGGTCCAACAATACTCATCTGCTTACAGACAAACGGCAGGTAACAACAATCAAGAACCTGTCCAAGGTGGAGCCAAGACCGCTCATGAGGCTAAGCCTTTTATGGAAGACGAGGATGGTGAAGAAGAACATCAGTATGATATCAGAATGCGCAAATGACAAGTGTTTTTCTTATTCCATATTGTATACATCTTTAGAGGAAATTTCAATCTTTCTTTTCAAATTGTAACTTCCCCAATGGCAAATTCAATATGCTCAAGTAGAAACCGTTGCAGCTTCTTTCTTAAATCTTCGACTTTCTCGTTGGTTTCCATTCGGTTTAAGATCAGACCATCGAGCCAATGGTTTACGGCTTTAAGGTGGACGAAAATAGACTCTTTTCCATTTGTTTCTTCCTTCTTCACCAAGAAAGACCCTTTGTTCAGTGAATTCTCCAAATAAATCAAGAACCATTGGCTGGAAACATGGACTAACTCGTCCGCTAGACTCGCTGACTCATTCAGACTGCTTTTACCTTCGAAGCTACTTCGGTCTGAAACAGAACGATATTTAGTTGCATGCGGTTTTGCACCTTTGTAAGACGGGGTTCTTGAACTTGTTGTCTCCTTGGGTTTCATTTTCTCGGATGAGTTCTGTATAACAATGTAGTGATGATCAGCAGCATCTTCTTTCTTTCCAGGCTCTTTGAATAAATTGAACTGAGAAAAATTGGTCACTACGGCAGTTTGAACCCAAGATGCTGCATTTTTGTTTACTACTAATCTACGTGAGCCGTTCTTTCCATTTTGAGTAAGCAACCGATGGACCGCTTTGCATGTATTCTGTGTACTGTGGTAGATGTCTAAGAATCGGCTCACTACTTGTCCTGCAGATAATTTCTTAGTTGAATCACACAGCTCGGCAAAGGTCCTGAAGGATCAAAGCCATATATATGTTCATTATTAATGACTCGCAAACTCGTGTAACGAAACCGGTTAGGGATGAAATAGAGAAGACATACTGCAAACAGAGTAGAACAGACTCCATGGCAGATGCTTCCTCCAGTGCGCTTACTGCTGCCGAAACTGCTACTTGCCTATGTGATGAAACTTCCTGAAAGGAGAGATTGAAACACATGACTACTAATTCTCAGAGTCGCTAGAATTATCCAAATACCATACCTTTCCGAGAAATTGAATGGTTTTTGGGAGTCCATTCCATAAGATTCTTTGATCAGACCAAGTCATGTGACTTGAAGGCACCTTAAAAAGCGCAACCGGAGGAGCCACTGCCTTTGACAACGACTTGATACCATCTTTCGGAGAACTAGCCATGGAAATAGGTGATGCAGGCTTCACCACATATCTACTTCTTAAAGCCCGGGTTTCGCTGTTAAGGTGCTTTGGTATAGGTGACTTGATACCATCTTTTGGAGAATTGGCCATTGATATAGGTGATGCAGGCTTATCCACATTCTTGTTTCTTAAAGCAGGGGTGTTACAGTTAAAGCTCTTTGATGGCAATTCATTCTTTAGCAGATTCTTATCACTCAAGACCTGCACAAACATCGAAAATCTGTGAAATCAATGACTCCAAGTGTATGAACAGAAACCAATATCAAATTGCTACACTATCTATAAGAACCAACTTTTAAGGTCATCCTGAAACAGACCATTGTAGCAACTTAAAGAACAAGAAGAAACCCTACACTCAAAACACAGCTTCCACAATCCAAATGCAGCAAAATGGATCAAACAGAGCGATTCACAGAGCAACATTTAAGGTCTCCTAAAACTATTAGTA